GAGCCACTAGCCCATTGGCTAGAGCATGCTCTTGGGAGAGCCAGGTCCAGAGCTGTGCTGTGCCTGTTTCAGCCTCCTAGAAAGTCTCCACAGTCTCCCCCGTCCCAGGTGAGGGCCTGCGCCAGGGTATTGGCTATTCCGGGGCGGTTAGGTCTCTGGTTTTGGCCAGTAATTGCATCCTGAACCAGAGAAACCTTCCTGGTGAACAGATACAGGGACGTGTCTGAGAAAAGCTTCATTTTTGAGGAGTTGGCATTTTCTGAGGATGATTTCACAGAAAAGTTCCTGACCTGCTCTAGTGAGCATATAAGGGGGCATGTCCCCTTTCCCTGTCTGAGGGGTAGGGTGTGTTAGGAGCAAGCAGAGGGCACTCTTCTTGGCTCTGAGTGTTAGGGCAGGGGGGAGCCTGTCAGAGCTGTGGGGGGCACTTTGAATGCACTCAGATCGCTGGGGTGTCCATCCCTGCTGTTGAGGAAACAGCCCATGACCGGTGCTGAATGGTGCAGAGCTTTCACTGGCCTAAGGCAGCCTGAACATCTCCATTCCTAGCTTTCCAGCTGCCGCTTTCACTCAGGCAGCTTGATAGGTGGGTTCCAGTCTGGCTCTGCCGCTCCTCCTAAGCTAACAGCCACGAGGCTGTGTCCCTGGGCTGGAGGCGGGCAGCAGGGATGATCTCCAGCAGGCCCTGCATTTAGACACCCGAACGCTGATACACAGCGCTTGGGTAATGGAAAGCTCCTGCTGGCAAATTGCTCGTGCTTTGCGGGAGGATCTCCTGTTTGCGGCCAGAGGCTAACACCCCAGAAGAGATTCTCGTTTGCCAGCCTCTGCCTGCTCCCGCTTGGTTCTGAGGCCAGGGCGGGATGGGTGAGGGTGTTGTCTTCTAAAAATTCCTTTGCGTCTCCCCCTCCGCCCTTCTTATCTGATGGAGCTCAGAGCTCTGCGGCCTCATTCCTCGTAAATCCAGCCTACCCACTTCCTACCTCCCCTTCCATGAAACTGACTGACTGGACAGCGTGAGCTCGTCCGCCGGCTGCTGCAGGAGCGTTGTGTGATGCCACAGGCAGCTCCGCTGTCAGGCCACTGGATGGTCATAGGACGTGCTGTACCTCGTCGTGCGTGAAGGCCGCCATCTTGGCTGACCTCAGGGTTGGACCGGGATGCTCCAGAGCTAAAATCTTGAGCTGCCACCGCTTGAGCTAACGGTCTGTAGTGGAGCGGTTGTAAGAACTTGTATCCTCTGCACCTCAGCACGGAGGGGGACTTTTAAGACACCCACCGGTGGGTTACACATGCAGGATTGCTGCAGCTGAATGGCCCCAGCGTCCCCAGGGGTTCCAGTCACTGCAGGGTAGGGATTGTGCATCGCCCTTATGTCATGGTGTCGCCATGTTGCCCTCCGGGGAGACCCTTGCTGCAGGGTCTCTGTGGCTGTGTGGTCGAGTGGATGAAGTGGTACAGCTGGGTGTGTCATAAATCAACAGGTGGAAACTCCCCACCCCCATGAATGACTCTCCCAAGAGGCCATGACCTGGCTGGAAGCGGAGCTCCAAAAAACATTATAATTCATATCACTGTCATGCCTTAGAGTCCCAGTCGTGGACTGGGACCCCATTGTGCAAGGCACTGTGTGCACACACACAGGGGAACAGAAGATGGATTCCCTCTTTTTCAAACTCTCTTGGGTACCCTTAGTCTCCCGTGATCCTGAGCGCCGAGGAAGAATCCTCACACAGTCTGTGATCCTCCCCTTGTGTGACCTTCTCCCAGTCACAGCTGCAGGAGTCTTTTCTGGCCACTAATGCGTTCGGTTTCCCAACAGACACTGTCTGCTAAATTGGGAAAGTCATGCGGAGCAAAGTCATTCCGCCTCCCTGAGCCCTTCTTCCTATTAGTGTCCATTACAGAACCAAATGAGAAAACAGATGAGGCTGGGGAGGGGATCCTAATGAGAGCTGCCATATTGCGTTTTTACGGCAGATTGGGCTGGGCCAGGAAAGCTGTGGGCTCCTCAGAGGCCCCTCTCCTTATGGCAATCTTTCCTCGCCTCCTAATGCTGCTCCCTGGTGCTCCAGGCAACCAGCTGCTGGATTCATGACCAAATATACCACTGGAGAAGCAAAGGTCCAGGTGGTGCCCCCAGGACCTAGCAACCAAGGACGGCTTTGCACACTTCCCAGCCCTCTGCAACCAAACCAACACTTCCTGAGACTTCCCCCACGTCCCAGGGCACCCCATGTTCTGAGCAGACCTCTCTATTCCTGATCTCTTTCCATCTCTGACAGGGACACTGCCTCCGTTACTCTTGGTAACTTAGAGGCCAAGAGGTTTTCCATTGGGTAGGGGTTGGGGGGATAAAAAAGCAGGTGTAACTTGTAGAAATAGGCTGTGGATGGGTACCTATGCCTGAAGGCTGGGGGTGTGAGCGGCTTCTTTACCATACACAACACTGCAAGAGGACCCATTCCATCCACTATACACAAGCGTGCCGGCTGTGTAGGTGTCTACCAGAAGCCACGAGGAGGGTTTGTGAGCGTGAGACCGTTCTGTTGTACATGAGTAGGAGTTTGTGGGGGTGGAGGGGTGATGCTCATCCACCCCACATGGCCGTGTGGGTGTTGGGGTGCACGGGGACCCATTCACCACACTCGTGACCTTGTGGGTGCGATTGTGAGATCCACCCACCATGCATGAATGTGCAGGGGGCGTAGGGGTGTGCTAGAAGACTGCCGTGCACGACCCTGTGGGTGTATGTGGTATCTCGCCATCTGCATCACGTGTGATATTGTGTATTCCTCGGCGGCTTTCTTTTGAAGTTGAGTGTGATTGCATTAGGGTGGAACCGGCTCAGAACACGGGCAAAGATTGCACTATTGTGAAAGCAGTGAGTGAGTCTGCTGGATCCATCCCGCTGTCGTTGGCTGAGGGTCTGTCTCCCAAGCTAACTCATCTTGTGAATCGCATTTTTTAGACACTAGCTTTTTATAGATTATCCTGTTTGTGTCTCAGATCTCTCTGTGCGCTCACAGTGTTTTTACTGAATACAGATGAAATATTTACATGTCAGTTACATGGTTTGTAAAGTTCCTGGATTTGGGCATTCATTTTCCAATATAAATTCCTCCCCTGCCCCAGCAGTTACATGTCACGCTATAAAGCCCTGATTGTTCACGCCACTCCTGATTTACCTGCCCTGGGATATTTGTCTGCCACAATATGAAACTGACTGGAAGCTGCAGCGGGGATCTCAGAGCGGCTTGCAAATGGCAAGCGCATTTCTCTTGCCTGCCTGCGTTAGGTGCCCACTTGAAAGACAGACCTCCAGAACAGGTGCAGTGTGGACTGTGGCAGTGAAGACTTCTCCATTGCTGCCCAGCCTGGGTGCCTTCACTTGGAGAGATCACCTCTGAGGAAGGACCTGCATTAGGAAGCACTTTTACCACTGTTCCCATCAGAGCATCTGCCAGGAGGGCGTGTGCGATACTGCTTCAGAGGGGTAGCCTTGGGCTGAGGCACTGGGCTGGGAAGCAGTTGATCCAGGGTCAACTCTTGCCTCTGCCACAGCCTCCCTGTGTGACTTAATCTCTCAGTGCCTCTGATTCCCGTCTGCAGAATGGGGAATAAAGCTTCCCTACTGACCAGGGAGTGGGGAGGTAAGGATAAATTTAGTGATGGTGAGGTGTTCAATGTAAATAATAGATATAAATATATAAATCCATCGCAGTGATATATTTGATAAGATCGTCTTTGGCTTGGAGAGGGAAAGACTGGGCCCCGGAATTGTCCGAGTGGTTCCTGAAGAGCGGTGTTGCTCACCAGCTGTAGGAAAGGTGGCCCAATGGCGATGGTGCTAGTCTGAGATCCGGATTCAATTCACTGCTCTGCCACAAACATTGCGTGACCTTGGGCAAGTCACTCGGTGTCTCTGTCTCCGCTCCCCATCTGTACAATGTGGATAGCAGCACCGCCCTGCCTCCCAGGGGTGTTAAGGATAAATGCATAAATATTTTGAGGCCCTCCGCTATCATGATAATGGGGGCCAGATAGGTACGTCTTCATTGCAGCTGGGGATGTGGTGTGCAGCTCATGCAGATGTACCCACACTAATGGTAATCTTGCTAGATGGCTAAAAACATCCGTGAGAGTGCAGGCTTCATTACGGGCTGGATATGCAAGTACGTTCCTAGGGTATAGTCCAGGCTGCCTCATCTTCAGCTGCTGGTTTTATCCGGCTAACTAGGTTACAGCTAGTGCAGGTATGTTCACCTGAGCTGCGGTGTGGACGTAGCCCTACCCTGCAAGTTCTTGAAGCGTGCGCTCTCCATTCAACACCGCTGTAATGGCACCAGTGCGACCCCTCCAGTGTAGATGTGCTGGTAACCAGGATGATTCCCACTGGTGCAGCGCATCTCGTTTCGGGGGTTTGCAATGGTGGAGCACTTTGCTTTATCTTCATTCTGTTCTTAGATAATCGCCCCCTTGCTACCAGGAGGGAGTGGGAGCTATTTTGCAATATGTAGCTTGATATCTAATGAGTCAGATTAGCTGGATCAGCCGCTAATAGAATTGACCCTGCCCCATGGAAATTGAGTACCGTGCAGTTAGCTGTGCCGGCGTCTTTTGGCTGAGACCTTCTGACATCCCCTCTGCTCTGCTGAGACTTCAGATCTTTCCCCCCACCCCTGTTTTTTGGACTAAGTGTTGGCCCTTTGTCCTTGGCCAGAAGCTTTCCTGCCCATGCAACATGCTGTGTGCTTGTTAGGTTTCCTGGCTGCTGCCTCCACCCCAGAGGTGGCTGCATTTCAGGAGCGAGTGTGGTGGTTTTCCTGACAGCTGGCACTTTGCAAAGTGCTTTGGGACCATCCCGGATGAAAGGGTGCTCCAGAAATGGGGGAGGAGGGGAGATGGTGATGCTGTCCTGGTCCCTTGTGGGGTCTGGAGGGAACAGAGCAATGCAAACTCTGAGCTTCTGTTAATGCTTCTCCTTTGCTCTCCGGCAGGGTGGCCTGATCGCTCTGCTCCTGCTCCTGCTGGTGTTCACGGTGGCGCTGTATGCCCAGCGGCGATGGCCCAAGCGTCGCCGGATCCCCCAGAAGAGTGCCAGCACCGAAGCCACCCATGAGATCCACTACATCCCCTCGGTGCTGCTGGGCCCGCAGGCCCGGGAGAGCTCCCGCAACTTGCGCCTGCAGGCTCACAACTCCGTCATCGGCATGCCCATCCGCGAGACGCCCATCCTGGATGACTACGACGTGGAGGACGAGGACGAGGTCCCACAGCAGGTGGAGGCTGGCCCGAGGGAGGACGAGTTCGGCAGCCAGGTGACGCGGACGCTGGAGAGCCTGGGCAGGGGCGGGGAGGAGAAGCCCGAGTTCGAGAAGAAAGGTTTGTCGCTTCCCTTCCTATTTACTCCCTCCCTGCTGGCCAAACAGCTGGCTCCCAAATGTACCAGAGGGTCATTAGGAGGTGGTAGCTGATCTCGGAGGCGCTGGTTGGCAGCCATCCCATTCATGGCCTCCGCTCTCCTCTTGCTCAGTCGAGTGCATGCTCCGAGACACCCAGCTTCAAATGCTTTAAAAAAAAAAAAAACAGAATCGGGCAGCAGCCTTCACGTAGGGAACCTGGCTGCTTGCTCGCTCATCTGCGGCTGTACTGCGGGCATATTCTTGATCAGTGCTTCAAAGGGGGGAAACTCCCGCCAGGGCCTCTGATTCGGTGATGGTTTTTGTTCACCATAGTGCAGCGAGGTCTCCGTGCCATGTGTGCCGCATCGCAGCTTCTCGGGCGGGAGCCAGTCCTCGGTCTCGGGCGTCGTCTCCGTTAGCCCGTGGCCTGCTTTCCTGGCAAACTATCCTCGCCAGGGGTTTTCACGCTGGGGATTCTTTATAGCGTTAGCCGGGTGGGGCGCTGAAAGAGAGATTCTCATGCTTTAAAATAACACAGCCTAGCCTCTATCGAGAGCTTTTCATCTTCAAAAACACTTCACAAATGCTGATCCTCACCCCCTCTCCTAAGATTGGTATTTATGAATATTCCCCATTTCTCAGAAGGAGGGGGAAACTGAGGCACAGTTTGGTAACTTGTCCTAGGCTGAAGAGGGCACTGGTGTGAGTGCCTGCGATGACCAGGCCGTGTGATTGCACACACATTCCTCAGCTAGCCTGGCAATCTCGCTTTGCTGGTCAGATGATGTAGCATTAAAGTGAAGTACCAGAGAAACCCATGTGCGTAGGAAGTTGGTGGCATTACAGCTTCCCGTGCGTTTTACTTTATTTTCTCCCCCGTCAAATCCTCCTTGAAAAATGAATGGTCAGAAACCTTCCATTTCCAACAAGCGTAAGAATTTTCACCACCGCGTGCCCTGCCGGGCTAGCGAACTTTTAGCTGTAATTCTGTGCCCGTCCAGCACAACTGGTGCCGGCAGTGGTGGAAGCGGCAGTGTGGACAGGGATCGTAGGTCTTTACTGTCATCATGGATTGTACAATATGATGGTAGACAACCCTGAATGCCTGAATCTCACTGACACTACAGCTTCTGGTGTGGCGGCCACTTAGACCGGGAGCTCTGGGGCAGGGACGACCGTTCTGGTCTGCTTTGGTGCAGCGCTTTGTACAGTGGAGTGCTGGTTCGTGCATGGGGCTTGGAGGTACAATTGCAACAAAAATAATAAATAGTAATAACAACTTTAGAGCTGCGTGGATGGTGGATTATGGCTGCAAGTCTGATGGTTATAGCCAGATCTGTTAAGGCTGTAGCTTGACAGACAGACAGTAGCATCCCGGAAAGGGTGAATGTCCCACCTCAATTGGGTGTTAGCAGAGAGGCATTAATTAGGCCAGGCTGTATTCTGTAGTTTCTAACGGGGGGGGGGTTAAGAAGTGTGCACATCTCTCTCCACATTGAGGGAGGGGGCGAATTTCAGAATAGATCTTCAGGTCTGCACTCCAAGGGAGGTGGACATCTGAGTGCTGGAGCAAGTCCCCTAAGTGCAGTCTTCCTGGAGCTGATCTGCAGCTGGGTGTGGCCCTGCCTGTGTGTGTGTTCGAGGAGGTTTGAAGAGCCTGGCTCAGCAAGACAGGTTAAAGGGGGCTCATGCTGGCAGAACAGGTAGGCTCAGTGGTATCTCAGCGCATCAGGTGGCTTCCCAAGGGGTCCAACCCGTCACACAGAGGTCCACGGCTGTTATGGTCTCTTGTGGGGGCAAGTGCCAAGAGAGCTACGTGCAGGCAAGTCTCCGTTGAGGCCGATGATTCTAGTGGCATGTAGCTGTTGTGGGAGGCCAAAAGATGGCCAGCGTGAGGCGGTCTCTCGGGGGTTATAATGCGGAACGATCCCATGGACAGCATTGCAGACGAGAGCCGCCCGCCCCTTGAATTTGACCCAGAATTCAATGGGGAGCCAGCCCAGAGAATGGGGCACTGGGGCAATATATTCTGATCAGTTTGTGTTATAGCTCTTTTAATGTGGTTCGTTTTGTACAGAATGTAGGGACAGAGGTACAATAACCAAGCCTGGCGGTCACCAGTACGTGGATGGCTGTGTCTGAATCGCACAGTGTTTTCGCCCCCCATCTGTTAAAAAAAAGGGGCTATCTGGCAGTCGGAGTGAGCTATTGGGGTATCCAGAAGCAGGGAGGGGTCCAGGCAAGCACAGGATTCAACATAGCTGTAGCGATCTCTGGGCAGGCTTTGCCGGTGCAGGTTGAGGATACAGATGTGACAAGTTATCTTCTATTCAGTTCTGTGACTACTCCCTGGGGAGAGGATATGAGAGAGAATGACCCATGCGTGACAGATGTTAGTGATGTCATTTAATGCACCTTGGGAAGGTTCTCAGATGCTACAGTCATCAGGGAGGTGTAAAAATCTGTCTAGAATAGAGCAGACTGACTCTAGTTCTGCTCTCAACCTAAGATACAATTCACTCTGCCAGACCATGTGTGTTTGGAGGAACTGAACTTGGGGAGACAATCCAGCTTTGCTCCTGCATGCTCCCTGCTAGGTGTGGGCTTTCTAGGCAGTTATTTGGATGAAGATCTGATAAACTGCACAATTGGTGGATTTGTTTCTCCTGCACAGAAGGGAAAGCGCTTTCCCCAGAGTGCTCTGGCTAATGCACATTTGATTGCCTGCATTTTTAAAGCCTGTCTCTCCAAAACAGTAACACCCACCTCTGCTTATCGCAATGTCATTTTAAAACATATAATATCATTAACCTGCAGCACACAGTAAAATGTATCCAAATAAACACAAGCAAAGTGCATTTGTTCTACCTGCTAGCAATATTTAGGGCAGGAGTAGATCGCAATGCTGCACAAGTCCCCCTCTCAAATGGAGTGGGAATAACTTTTTCCTTTCCTAGTGCCATCATTCTCGAAGCTAGCAGGCTTTGATTCAGCATGTAAATGCTTGCAAACTCCATTCAAGTGTGAGGTTGCTGTTAAGACTATAGGAAGGTTTCAGAGGAACAGCCGTGTTAGTCTGTATTCGCAGAAGCTCAGTTTGCAACCAAGAGCCTTTAAGGCGGCAATGCCTGGGTGTCAAGACTCCGGAGTTCTAGTTTTGTAGCTGACTTACCCTGTGACCATGGGCAAAATCACCGAGGGCCTGATGTTCAGAGATGCTGAGTCATCAAAGTCAAGTGGAGCTATGGGTGCTCAGCAGCTTTGGAAATCAGGGCCCTAGAGTCCCGGGCGTGGAGCCGGGAGCCGAATCCTGGGGCCGGCAGCTTGGACCCTGGGTATGGGGCCAGCAGCTGGGACTCTATGCAAAAACTGCAGCACCCCCGCACTCCTACTTCCTATGCCTATGCTGTTGTGCTCCAATGAGCATGTAGATACCCCAGTGCCCTTTTACAGCCCCTAGGTGCCGATCGGAGCAGGTCCTTTCAGCACCCTCCGTTCAATGCACGTGCCAGATATCGGGCCTACAATGTTAACAAAATGCTTCCCTGGTTCTTCCCTCTGTGGCAGAATCTTCGTGAGCCATGCCTGCATTTGATTTTTTATTCTTTAACATTCTCTTGTTTGTTTTGCTTTTTTATACATTATTTAGGGTTGTATGGGTTGGGAAAGACAGAAATAACTGAATTTTCAATAGTTTTGAGAGCAGAACAGTAAACAAGATCTAGGGCAGAATATTAAACTCTGCGAGGGTTTCAGGAATTGGTGATAAAATACGTTTTACATTGACTGGTAAATTTCCCTTCTGTATGGCTTCTAATAGCCGATCTGCGTTGCCAAAGATGCCTGCAGACGTCTATTAGCCTTGGGTTGTGTAAGCAAATGTTACCGACTGTTCAGTTTAATAAACTTTTTTTGTTTCAATTACCCTTCTCCATACCTTACTCCATGAAGTGGCCTTAGGCTGTAAGAGTGGAGCTGAGGGGAATCTAAAACTAAAAGGGGTAGGGGGAACCCGCTCAGAAATTAAGTCGCTTTCCAAGTACTTTAACCAGAGGTATCTGTGGATTTGGATTGATCCTGTGATCTAGCTACTGTGAAAATGACCTTGCCCAAGACAAGGCAGCTGAGGGAAAACCTGGGAAGATATTCAGAGCAATGCGTGGATACAGCCTTGTCTTTCCCATTTGGCCTTCTGGACCCCCATGGCTCAATCCTCATCTGTCACTTTGAAATGGAGTGCCCCAGCACTTTGTTGTCAGGATATCGCTGGAGCAGCCCTGTCCTGTGCTCTTGGCTCTCCTTAAACTCCCACTGAGGTAATGGGGCTTTCGACCTCTCGGGTGATGTAAGATTTGGCCCATGATTGGTGCAATTTAATTTAGTCCCATTAACTAAAGTGGGAGTGGCAGGCGCTCAGCACCTCTGAAAACCAGGCCAATTAGATGCCCTTAGCAGGAGATTTTTCAAAGTATGTGTGCTACTTTCTTATTACAGCCACCCTAGACTCATGCCAGTAAGAGGTTTAGCTCACCTGCCCCCACTGGTACATTAGTCTGTTTTTTACTAATCAACTGCCTGTATTTGCCAGGCACTCTTGGTCTGAGCCAAACGCCTGGTACCGGGATTGCCAAGGAAAATCTTGGTGCATTAGGCCCAGATCCTCAGAATTATTTAGGCACCTAACTCCACCTGATTTCATGGATCTAGGCCAGGGGTGGGCAAACGTTTTGATCCGAGGGCCACATCTGGGTATGGAAATTGTATGGCAGGCCATGAATGCTCACAAAATTGGGGGTTGGGGTGCGGGTGAGGGCTCTGGCTCGGGGTGTGGGCTCTGGGGTGGGGCTGGGAGTGCAGGAAGATGCTCTGGGCTGGGACTGAGGGGTTTGAAGGGCGGGTGGGGGGTCAGGGCTAGGGCAGGGGGTTGGAGTGTGGGAGGGGGTCGGGATGCAGACACTTACCTCAAGCAGCTCCCAGAAG